ACTGAGCGGAGTCTTGTATTCTAATACTATTACGAAGTGGTCCATGTCAAGAACGCCGGTTGCAGGTCAGCGTACACACCCTGACCATGGACACAGGATATGATGTTGGCGATGTTCGATCCGCAGAAAATAGCTACGTCGTTGGGATCAGCAAGCCAGTAGTAGCACGACTGCTGAATCCCGTTCCAGTACATTCGGAGTTCATTCGTAGAACAGTCGACTTGGAAGTTCTGCTCCAGCTGGCCTGGCCCCCAGAAATACACAGCGTTGCAGCCGTCAATAGGCTCAAGTTGAACGGGTGCGGAGAAGATCGAAAGGGAAAGACCAAAATACGCCTTCGATCCCGCATCGATGAGAGTCGCCTTGGCCTTGGTGTCGTTCCTTCCAAAGTAGCTATTTCCAACTTTCAGGAAACCGGTCGACCCCGCACCAAAGCAGGCGGCAGGGGGCGCCGAAGGGTTACCGCGATTGCGGGTCGGGTCTACCGCGGGGTCTGTCGGAGGAGAGATCGGCGTCTGTGGGTTGATCACGTTGGCAGAACTGGCGATAGCTGCTGAAATGGCGGAAGATGCGGAAATAACCTGCAGCGCGCGGAGAGCGCTTTCAGCAGCGTTGACGTGACGATAGGGGGGGAGACGTACGTGGTTAGCCACCTGCGCAATGGCATCCGAGATGGAGGGTCCTGAGGCCCAGATAGCTGAAGCGGCACTCTGCGCTTCAGTCACGGACTCGGAGGATGCTGCGATCGCATCTGCACGCTCGCTGTCGCTGGTCGCGGAAACCTATGTTCACGTTAGTGGATTGCCACGCCGATCGCTGAACGATTGTGTGGGACTTACAAGTGCGGCGGCGGCGGGCGCCAACGCGCTTGCAGAGGCGATTGCGGCGGCGGCGGCGGACGATTGAGCGGGAGGAACGTCCGAGGCTGAGGAAAGTGCGGCGGCGGCGGCAGCAGCCTCTGATTTAGCGGACTCAACACTTACCGCTGCCGCGGCGGTGGCCTCTGCGACAGTGGTAGCAAGAGTCGCTGAGGAGCACGAGACTTGACGTTTCTCCAAGGTTTTCTGGGTCACATTCAGGGAGGCGTCGAGACTCCCGGCAGGATCCGACAGTTCGCGAGGAGAAATTGACGGAGAGGATGGAGAAGGAGGGTTGAGAGCGCAGGGCTGGCAGTCGTAGGGTTTGAGTGGTGTGCCCATGACCGTGAGTGCACTTGCGTCGGGCGGATAGGCAGTGTCTACAGGGAACGTCGCGGGAAGGTATGTTAATACACGGCTATCTGTAACGAATCGCAGGGAGGGGATGTCTTCGTTCGCCCAAAAGGCAGACCCTCGTTCGACGCTACCGACAGCAGTTACCGGTGCGTTTTGCTCAGGTTGGTCGAGAAGTTTGAGGGCGAATCTATGGCACCTTTTACGGCGACCGTTTTGCCCCTTCCATACAGTGCTTCCCACGTTTTCGACCCGTAGGAGGTTCGTCAACATGCTATTCAGGGTTGCTTGAAACGCCTGCTCTATCGAAGGCACGGCCATTACGTGAGCATTGCCGCGCCCCCCTTCCAGAACCATATTGAATGGAAATTCATCACATGAAATCTATTCGTAAATTAGATATCAATTGTTTGATATTATCAGTGTAATCAGTATGGCACACCTTCCAGTAATCCGGATTATGTTCACGAAGGTCACATTGTCCAGAGGCTTGGAATGCATCTCTCACCGCTTTGCCACACACAGCATTGCGCCTTTTGCCGCTGTTGAACGGGTCATAGGTGAGGTCCATCGTGTCGGTATTCTGGTCCCAGTCAGGGTGCGCACGAATATTTTCGCAGATTGTTGGCAACTTGTTGCAATAATACGTGAGCGTCGGCAGGATGGAGGGGATGTCCACATCGTTTGGATATGCTGGACATCTACTGGGGATGATTACTTCGGGTACTGTTTTCGTTGCGACATGGTCTACCGAGCGGGGATCGTGAAGCTCTCGGCGGACAGTGGAAGAGGATGTCATGCTGTTGTTCGATTTTCTCGTGTTGTTCTGGGAGGCGTGAAGAGTCATCAGCTGGCCGTGCACGTATACGGGAGGGGGGATATTGGGAGGCTGGTACGGCGCCCTCCCGACGGGAGAAGAGGAAGATTCAAGATCTTCTGAGACATGAGCGAGGTTGACCGGAAGCGTTACGAAGCTGTTGCCATGAGGTGCGGATGAACGAGACGAGAGAACGAGATCATCAGTTTGGGAGCCAGGGATATTCGGGGACCCATAGTCCCACCAACAGCTTGAGGGATCTTCCGACATGCACGGCCAAGAGAAGTCAGGGTCCCAGTCATCTTCATTCTCTTCACGGTCGGTACTAAGGGGGGCGTCGTATTGCGGGGTTCCCGGCGCCGTAACGTAGACCTCAGAGGAGAAATGAAACCAGTCGTTGAGGTTCAAGTAAGGGATAGTGCTCCCCGCGCAGTCGCCTTCGGTGCAAGATCTGGTCCAGTTCGCGATATAACCCCACCACTGAAGGACGTCGTCACCGGAGCTGTGGGAGCCACATCAAGTTCGACTCGAGAAGAAGGCAGATCCTCGCCGTTTATATTAACATACCTGGGCCAGAGTTCGGTACCGGTCGATTGGATTGTATCGTAAAACCAGTCGACAAACGGCTCTGTGCGGTGGTGAGAAACAGACGGTTCAATAAGAGGGCATGATACACCTACGCCATGCTAAAGGGCAACCACCAGATTGGAAAGCACAATTGCCAACCATGGAGAAGTAAACCTGGTCAATGGTGAGTTCGCAACGAAAGAAAGGTAACAATACGAGATAGGCACATTATTGTAGTCTAAGCTTTCCTGATCTTCAGGCTTCTGACAAGTCCCCGCGCAGCAGACGGCGTCGAGTACCTCACCCATCTACAAAGAGCTGTTCAATGTGGATCACAAACGTTCGATACTGAACCCACTCACACCGGCACACATCGCTGAAGCTGTGCAGATCCTATCACTCCAGATCCTAGTGGGCGGGATCTAGTACAACAACGAGTCAGTCTAATGTCGAAGCGGCATGAACAAGTGGAAAATACAACCTGTCCTGTAGCAACTTTCGCCACGCACAAGCCTACCAGCGAAATGCATGACGTATCGGGTGCAGATATGCATGAGCCATTAACAGCGGCTGCCGTCGTAACGCCGCTATCGAGGGCCAGGGACGCGGGATGCGCGAGAGAGATTGAGCCGCCAAAGGCGCAGAGGAGAGTGGCAAGTCCTATAGCGAACATCGCGAAGGAGAAGCGGTTCTTTATGTCCCCCAAGGTAGCCTACAGCCCATATTTATGCAGCTTGAGAGCGCGACGCTGGATATGCATATGTCAGAGTAACGAGCTGATCGAACGCCGACGTGCGTACATGAAACACAGTCGTTCAGTGGCTGAGCGCAGTTGGACTTGATCCCTTATCATGTGCACAACACCAAACCTCGAGCGGCGAGTACAGACGAACGGGATGCCGAGATTCAATTCAGCAGAGGCGTCCTTCCAAAACTGGAGAGGTTAAGCAAGCGCTATATCAGCCGTTTCAAACACTCTGATATCATGTCCGGCGCACATCACTGTCGGCGAAGGCGTAAGCACGCGTGGCTAATACAACTCACCAGAAATTATCCTCGGCTCGAGCCGCAATTTGTCGGAGCTTGTTGAGCGGCTCAAGGCTTCTACGGTGCTAGCACCAGCATAAACAAGCCGCACATCTTCGGACCCGGGCCACGTACAAGCTTGCTGGTCCTCGCGATGTGCGGCATGCGACACTTTATGTTCCTTTCGGTACACGAATATATAGCTTGAGTTAGACGTATGTCAGGACGACAACTGGTTGAGTATACCACCGAGACGTACACGAGCGTAGAATATTAACAGCACTCGCGCCGGTACTTCGTCAAAGGTATTCTCTCCGGGACAAAGGTTCCCCGAGTGCGCTGTATCTGAGGTCTGCATGTAAACGTATTTGCGGCGATTTATGACACGCTTAGCCTCGGCCAGCCGAGCGTCGCGATAGCCTTGAAGTCACCATAGCGCGCCCACCATCGTGACTGTCGTGCGCTTGTAGCTTTGTGTTTGGATCGCCCCATGATCCAAACTGTAGAATACGTATGAGTACTGCCCTGCGGTCTTCGAACCCAGACCTTGAGAGAGCGCACAGTCTGGGTTCCTTGGCAGATACACGGTGATGAGTGGCACCCGTCCCATGAATCTTGGTAGTATAGGCCTAAAAGTTCGAGTGCGACGAACAAGGAACAAGACGTAAGTCGAGGCCATAAGAGAAGCTTATTGAAGACCTCACGAGACATACATGAATCCGACGGCAAGCCGTGATTCATGGCTTGAGCTCTCGGAGTCCGGTATCCAAAGACCTGTCTTCATGTCGATGGATCCTCTACGTATATACATGTAGCGAGGCGCATTACGAAAGTCAGTTCATGAAGGAGACTCATCCGTGAGCCTCTTGAATGGATGGCATTGTTGATAATCACGTACTGCTACAAGACCTTCGTCATTCGTAAGCCCCGTCCGCTTACTGTTCAGCGGATCGGATAGCGGGGATGCACAAGGCGGATAGCTTTACATCTACATGTTAGTTCAGTCCTGAAGTATGGGCGAATCAGCAGCTCGGTGAGACCTTACCGCTAGGTATACCGGCAAGCTGACTGGAAATTTAAAACCTTGGGCTCCAACAACGAAAGCGTAAATATCTAGTAAGAGATCCCTAGTTTATCAACTCTCCAGCTGTATAGCGAATCACGACCAGATACATCAAATAGTTGCGCGTCTCCAAGTCGCTGAAATCGTTGAAGTTATTGGGTCCTGCAGGGAGTCCGAAAAGAGAGGCTCGATCATCGAGTATAGTTGTCAACGTAGTATTAGGCAGACCACAGAGACCACGGGCGTTTGTGAGCCTGCCCCAAGGCCGAACTTGGGATTGCTGATTATGATACGCAAAATATATACCTAAACCAGTGCCGGGATAGCTCAGCTGGGAGAGCAACAGACTGAAGCTGATGGAGTTTCGGTTTTCTGGAGGTCGCGTGTTCAATTCACGCTCCTGGCATTTATTTTTCCCGGGGTCCCTGTAGTCGCAGGTAGCGTTTGGTAGAGTTAACATTGACAATCTGGTTAACGGCCTCTCTTGTCGATTGCTTCTGACTACGACTGAAACTACTTCCCTACAATATCAGTTGGCCGAGGCGAGGTGCGTAATCATGGTGCAAGTAATTCGTATTCTTGAGGATTAAGCCTGCTATGAACGGTACAGGTGTATTTGGTAGATTCGAATAAACTACAAGCTGTCCGAGATAAGAAAAAAAACAAGAGGTCCAAATCAAGGTAGGGATAAACAAACATGATAAGCACTTCGAAGGCACACGAAAAGAACCAGTCGGAAACTATGTCAGTGCCGACTTTGGAGGCTGGGCCAGCAACGGGAAGCTATAGGGATGGTAGGCCGTGAGCCTAGCTGATGATGCCTCTCTCCGCCGCTTCACCGTGCTCTCCGCGGCGCCTTCACCCGGCGCGATAGGATAATTCGGCTGATAGTCATTGGGAACTTGGTCGCCGACCTTGTCGTCGTCAGTCCACCCGTCCATATCGAGCACTTCCTCTAGAACTTCAATCATATACTCGTGCGATCCGACAAGGTTGGCATCGCGCCGTTCCTCCGGCGTAGGAGGTACCAGCGCCGAAGCTCGTTTTCGAATCACGGAGGATGATTTCTCTGCGACTCGGCGGCGCTTTTGGTGGGCGGAGTTGGTCGGCAATGGCTGGCCCGCCATATGGGGCTGATGAGAGGACGTGAAGCCGTTTTTGTCTCTGGAGGCGATGACTGGTGCTTTGGGCGTGGGTTTGGGTTTCTTGATTTCCTCATCGTACTTGAGGACCGCGTAACGCGCTTTGAAAGAGGGCAGGAGACTATCCAAGACACAGTCCAGCGGCGAGTCGAATGTTAGCGGTACATCGGTTTGTACCTCGATCACTCCGAACTTCTTCACAGCGTTGGCCTTTGCGGCCCCGCACGTGTACACTCCGTCCTTCCCCCACGTATACGCATCGAAGAAGCCCTCCAGGAAGAACGCATGTTCCTCACAGTTCGACTTCAGGTACCGAACCCCATGGTAGAGAATCACGTAGAAGAACGCCTCCAGCTCGTCCGCAATTTCGACAGCACCAGGATAGCGCGACAGCATAGCAGCAGATAGGAACTGCCACGTACCCTACCACCTCTGTTCAGCATCACAACATTTGGGTGACATATATTCAAACACACACCGTTCTGGGAGGCTGCCGCGGACGTAAAAACTCGACCTTTTCCGACACAGGTTTGGACATCTCCCAGTCCGCAAGAAGACCCGTCCAAGTGATACGCATCTCGTTCGTTTCCGGAACATATTCGACCTTCGGGTATATCAGCACATTTCCGCCACTGACGTCGCGATGCATAATGTTTGCCTCTTTATGGGCCTCCCAGTGCGCTGGAGACATTGTTAGAGGACACACCGTGAATGGCACCCCATGGATAGTACGCACCGACTATGCAGTCCAGAACGACCGAAACGAGTTGCCTCCCGGTCTGGAACTCCGAAAGCGGCATCGCGACCTCTCGTTCGACGATGCGGTAGTGCATGTGGTGTCGAAGCGGTGATTCTTCTCGGAAGTTGAGTGCAGTGTCCTCCGAATCAAACTCGGTGCGTGTCCGCTTCCGCGACGTCGAGGACGAGAGGGGAGGGGGAGGGGGAGCAACGAGCGTGCAAGACGACGACTGCGATGCGGGGATAGGGACAAGAGGAGGCACGGCGGCTGTTACGGGCTCGGGTGGATGTTTCTCCTCCCATACCCGAGGCGTGTCCGTCGTCTGATTACGGATATCGCCGTGGCACAACAGCGTCGGGACGTTAGCGATCTTCTTTTCGTTCAGTAGCCCGAGAATAGACCCTTCTTGGTCGACGAGGTCGTAGTGAACACGCCACGCGTCCTTGAGCCACACAAACCGTTTCGAGATGCAGTCCAGAGCGACGTAGCCACGAGTGCCCCGCCCCACCATCCCGTGAGCGTAGAATACCGGCCGCCCAACAAGGAAGTGGCGCGTCCCAGCCCCGTCAGGTACCTCCACGCGGTAGCGGGGCCACTCGGGTTGGAGAGATTGACGGAAGCACTGGCGAACGTACTTGAACACCTGCACCCCAGCTTGAACCTCTGCTGCCGTGAACACCCGCTCTTCCGTCGCAAGGTCCGACTCCAGCTCAACAGCGGCGTCGTCCATCTCAGCATAATCAGCGTCACCGGGGAGGACCCGCGTAGCACTAGGGTCGACCCCAAGAGCCTCGTCCGACTGCAGAGACATCCTCCACAGGAACTCGCACAAAACGTCCGGCTCAGACACGTAGTCAATCGCACGGGTCACGATCGTCCCCGACCGGTCCCAGCGGAGGAATCGGAAGTTGCGACCGATGACGAGCAGCATGAACAGCGCCGTGCGGTGCTGGACCCGGAAAATGTACTCGGCGTATGTGATGACCTGGCCCCGCACTTTCTTGCGCTCAATCGAATCCGCGTCCGTCCGGTCTTCGTCCCGGTCGTCGAACGGGTCCTTGTTAGTCTCATGGCGCTTGAACTCGACCGGGACGACCTGGTCTGCCCATCGCGGCCGGCCGTCATGGAGTAGCGGGAAGTTGTCCTCCTTGAAGAACGCAGCATCGATCTTCTGTCGGAACTCGTCTCCCTCCTCCATCTCGGGTTTCTCAGACGAACACGCCATAAGCAGGTCGCCAGCGAGCTTGTTCTCGTTGACTGCCTGGATCTAGGCCAGGGTGAGTGGACTCAGGAATGCGAATACAAATAGGTTGAACGAGGAGTGGCTCACAAATCGACTCATGATTTCTGCTTCTAAGAGTGCGCCTCCTTCAACGAGCTCGCCGAAGACGTCAGAAGGCCACTGGGGCCGATCCTCTTCGCCTACGCTGGGTGGCAACGGGAAGTACGTGGCCATAAACTCCTCCGCTTCCATTCGAACAGCCTTGTTTGCCATGTCTTCGGTCAGCTTGATGCGATATTGAGGCAAAGATTTGAATTGTTCCGCTATGGAACCTGGGCCTCTGCCTCCACTGCCGTCGTGCAAGGACGCGTACGTGCGCTGAGCGACTGGTGTGGACTGAGCGTAAGTGTGCGGCATCGAGGAAGAGAAAAGGAAGAGGCTCACAGATTTCAGATTCCGAAGAATAGGTTTATATGGGAGGGTAGGAGAGCAAAGCGAGCGGGGGGGATTGTGGCTTGAGCCGCAGCGCACGGGGTGGTGGTTGAAAAGCAACTCTGGCTGGCTCTGCTGATCCGGATCAACGATAATCTTCCCATCTATGGGTTCCATTTTCTTACCGAAACAGAGAACAATGGGGGGCAGAGGTCGAGCAACAAAGGGCGTGCGTCGGTTCGTGCGAGGTGTTGGTTGTGTTCAAGGAGTAGTTTCCTGTTTAGGCTCGGAAGGGCGTTCCGGCCATTGCCGAGCCATACTAAACGCCCGCGCCAAGATGGCGTGCCTGGGTCCGCGCTGCTCATTCTAGCACTCATTCGGTTCAGGCTGCGGTATTTGGTTTTACATCATCCCGACCTTGATCAGGCTCCTTCTCGGATGACGCGACGGGCGCACAACTGACTCTCGAAAGTCCCAACGTTCCTGCCAGCCTTTCAAGTGGTTGCGATATGTTCAACAAGTCGCAATGACAGGTGCAGCTTGGCAAATTGGACCCGCTCATGGCAATCTTGGTTCTCTATCTTTCACCACCTATGCACCTCGGAAACTTGAATCAGATGAATCCGTGGTGAGGACTTGGTGTTGCCATCTGCAGACGAGCAAGCCAAGTCGGAAAGGAAGGTGCTATATTGCCCACGCATGCACTTACGTGGCGACGAGTGAAGAATACTCTGTGAGATGGATCTATCTCCGAAAAGTTAGAGGGCTCGGCGCTGCCGAACCGTGCATTCTGGAATCTTTAGGTTGTTCATGGTACCCTTACGTACCTGCAACAATTACCAGGAACCATTAGTCGGTGATTTCCAGACCGGATTGGTTGACTTTGCAATTCAAGCTCGTGGGGGAGCGTACAAAAACCTACGCCGCCCGAAGAGGCTGGGGTCACCAATAGTCACCAATATCACGCCCTCGACCATGCCAGTCCCGCTGCTCACTCCATATCTCCCCGAATACTTGGAAGAGGACTCCGAGGATGGCCTCCGTACGCTTCTCACCGGGTCGATCTCTGCCGTGCGGGGAGGTTCGTGCCCGTATCTGCGACCGGGCGAGGCCTGGCCACGTTGCAAAACCTGTCGACACCACCACGTGCCGTACCTCCAGGTCAACGCATCCTCGCCTGGCACGCCAGAGGAATTCTGTCAGCGTATCACAACCTTGATCGCAGAGAACGAAGGTGCTAGGGCTCCGACGCTCTTCCAGATCTTTGTCTGTGCGGTGGAGACGGACAACGGGACCTGCTTCGAAGGCTGGGTGAACTGCGTAGAAGAGGGCGAGTCTTGGCTTGTGCGCACAGTCCAGGTCGACGCGGACGCAAACGGCATCGAGGAATCTCCTACGCGTGAGGGCGTGCGGGCTGCACTAGGAGAAGAAGGTATCTTCCTTCCGGAACAGACCATCGTGCGGTGGATGCCGGGGAATCCAGAGACGGAGTACGAGGCGGCAAACAGCGACGATGAGTTCGACGAAGAACTTTATGGGGAGCATGAACCTGTCGCGGGGCTGAAGCTACTGGGGTACCCTATCTGCGGTGAGTTCGTTATTTGCATTCATACTGCGAAGGAGTGCGAACTTACCGTGCATCCTTAGGAAAATACTACAACAGCCCCGGCTGTACGGACACGTTCTGCGTGGAGGGAGACAGCGGTCCCCATTTCAAATGGCAATGTCTCGTACAACTCGGAACGCAGGAGGAAGAAAATTCTGTGAGTAGATTCCATCCGGCCATGTTTGGAGCAACGTTCGTGAATTTAAAGCACCTTGCAGCTGTATACCACGGGAAATATCTACTTGAACCAATGCGAGTTGCACCC